GTATAGGTTGCAGATCGGATGGTGTACCAGTCGCTAGGACTGATTGTTTCCATTAATTTTGGTTTTCTTCTTTCTTCTTGACGAGGAGAGACCCATTGTTACATCTAGATGGCAGCTTCCTAGCTTTTAACGACCAATTCTTTTGAGTACAGTGACGCTACGTATTCCTTCCATCTTCTTTTGACATTTCTTGCATCATTCAATATTTTGTCCATAGAATCTCACAACATTGCAAATTGAGGCTTAAATTTTCCCCCCAGTTATTTCAGCTTGAGAAATGCTGAGCGTATTCTCCCCCTTTGGTTTTCTAAATCCAGGTCTTTGCACATTTCATTGTAATACGTGACTATGTCTTCTTGAGCTGCTCTTTGAGATCTTCTGTTCAGCTCTTTTACCTTGTCATTTCTTCCATTTTCTTTAGCTACTCTCTGTTCCATGGCAAGGTTTAGAGTCTCTTCTGACATCTATTTTGGTCTTTTTTTCATCACCTGTCTTTTTAATGACCTTTTGCTTTATTTATGGATGATGTTCTTGATATCATCCCACAATTCCTCTGGTTTTCAGTCTTTGGTGTTCAATGTATCAAATCTATTCTTTAGATGGTCTCTAAATTCAGGAGGGATATATTCAAGGTCATATTTTGGCTCTCGCGGACTTGTTTGAATTGTCTTCAACTTGAAATGTGTTGAAAATGCGTACGAGCAGTTGATGGTCTGTTCTACAATCAGCTCCTGGCTTTGTTTCGGTTGAAGATATTCAACATCTTCATCGCCTCTTGCCATAAATGTAGGCAGTCGGATTTCTGTGCATTCCATCTAGTGAAGTCCATGTGTATAGCTGTCACTTATGTTGTTTAAAAATGTATTTGCAATGAATAAGATGTTGGTCTTGCAGAATTCTATCATGCGATCTCCAGCATTATTTCTATCACCAAAGCCATATTTTCCAACTATTGGTAACTTTTCTTTGTTTCCAACTTTTGCATTACAGTCATCAGTGACAATCAACACATCTTGATTGCATGTTCAGTCTATTTCAGACTGCAGAAGTTGGTAGAAATCTTCAATTTCCTCATCATGGTTTTGGTGGTTGGTGCACATATTTGAGTAACAGTAGTATTAACTTATCTTCCTGGTAGGCATATGGATATTATCCTATCACTGACAGTGTTGTAGTTCAGGACAGATCTTGAATCACTCTTTGTGATGATGAATGCCACACCATTCCTCTTTAATCTGTCATTCCCAGCATAGTAGATCATACGGTTGTCTGATTCAAAATGGCCAAAACCAGTCCATTTCAGCTCACTAAAGCATAGTGGCTAAGGCACCTGACTGCTAACCAGAGGCTGGCGTTCAAATCCACCAGCCACTCCTCGGAAGGAAGATGGGGCAATCTACTTCCGTAGTGATACTGCCTCGGAAACCCAAGGAGGGGTCACTATGAGTTAGGTCCAACTTGACGACATATAACAACAACGTCTAGGATATTGATCTTTGTGCATTCCATTTCCCTTTTGACAACTTCCAATTTTCCTAGATTCATATTTCATACATTCCATGTTCCAATTATTAAAGGATGTTTGCATCTATTTTTACTCATTGTAAGACGTGCCACATCAGCCAATGGAGGTCCCAAAAGCTTTACTCTATTCATATTGTTAAGGTTGTCTCTACTCTGAGGAGTCAGCTCTTCCCCAGTCAAATTTTGAGTGCCTTCTGGCCTGATGGGCTCATGTACTGGCACTATATAGGACAATGTTTCAGGGCTATTCATAAAGTCTTGAAGTAATGTATCAGACAGTGTTTCAAGAATGGCCAGACTTTGTCTCACTTACTTTGGTCAAATTGTCAGAAGAGATCATTCCCTAGAGAAGGATATCATGCTTGGTAAAGTGAGAGGTCAATGAAGAAGCGGAAGGCCCTCAATGAGATGGCTTGACGCAGTGGCTGCAACGACCGGCTCAGGTATAGCAGGGATTGTGGGGCTGGCATGGGACCCAGCAGTGTTTATTTCTGCTGTGCACAGGGTCACTATGAGTTAGAAAGGCACCTAACAACAACAAAAAGCTCGGACAAAAATACATGGAACAAATGTCAGAAGACTGCAAAGTGCGGAACAGGAAGCTGACAGTCTAGAGACACAAGGGCTCAGGAGACGACCTACTACCAGTTAAGTTCCCTGGGCTGGTTTTGGAGTTTCACAACTCCTCCATATACCATCTGGCAGCCTGGAGACACTACTGGTGCCCACGTCCCTCAACCGGTCCCCGCTCCCCTCAGTCCAGAGCCCAGGTCCCTCCACCGGGAGCCTGTACCCCTCAACCCAGAGCCCCCGTCCATCAGCCTAGAGCACCGTCCCTCCGCCCGGAGCCCGCGTCCCTCAGCCGGTGCCGGCGTCCCTCCGACCAGAGCCCGCATCCATCAACCTGGAGCCTACGTCCCTCAGCCCGGTATCTGCCGGCGTGTTTGCCGTACCCAGGTCGTGGTGCGCTGTCAGGCCGCTCTTCTCCCGGATCCTCTTCTCACACAGAACCAGGCGAACCCCTGCTAGCGCCATGTTTTCAAACGGAACGCTTAGGGCACTGCGCCTGCGTAGTGCGGCGGCGGGAACTAAGGCGGGACTACGGCCCACGGGCGGGGGCGGGGCCGGGGCCAGACTGGGCGGGGCTGCGGACCGTGAACGTGAGGGGTCCAGTGGACTCGGCCGCCGGCGGATGGGGCGGGGCCAAAAGTGGGCGGGGGCCAAAGAGGCGGGGCCCCACTGGGAAGCGCGAGGATGGGTGGATGGGCGGAGCCACGGCCGTGTGGGCGCGTGGGTAGGGCGGGGCCCGAGTGGGCGGGGCCCAGGTTGAGCGAGCCTGCCCCGTGGGTCCCGCGGAGTGTAGCCGGGGTTGAAGGGGGGACCCGGATCCCCGCCCAGAGGAGCAGAGTCTGCTGGCAGTCGCGAACCCAGCCAGCAGCTCCAAACCTGCTCTCCCCACGCTCCTCCCGGTGCCGTTGCATCCTGCGGGCCCTGTGCGCGTCCGGGGTGGCGCCCTGGCCCGGCCCCGAAGGCATCCACCTGGTGGCAGCCCGAGGGGCGCAGGCTGGGGAGAGGACGCGGGGTGCCTCTGGGACCGATCCGTCGGAGTTCCTCGAGCCACCCCATCTCGGCTAATCTCGTCCGCCCTGCGCGCACCACCCCAGAGGTCAGCCGCCTCCCACCCGCCGGAAAGGGACTCGTGGTTCCCAGCTCAGGCTTCCGCCTCCACGTGAAGACCCCTGCGAGTTCCGTCCCCAGAGCGAGGGAATCTCAGGGGCGCGGAGGTGTGCACAATCCAGTGGGGCGCTTGGGTGTACGAGCCTCGTGGGGTCAGCGACGCATCCGGAGTGCGTGTGTCCACTCCAGACGAGCCATCGCTCAATAGCGTTGTGATTGCGGACTGTTACCTGGCCCTCACCACGGTGCTGCCCCTTGATACCCAAGGTGAAGGGCGTCAGCGGTGCCCACAGCACTTCCGGCGCCGCGCTGCTGCTGGAGGGGCTGCAAGCTGGGCTGTGGTGCGCCCCCACCTAGCGGTGGAACTCGGAAACAATACACAAAAACCCTGGCTTTTCAGAAGCAAACACGGGAACAAAAGGCTTCTGTACACCGCCACCCAAGACAAGTAGCTGGCGGTGGTGGCACACTCTGAGCGCCAAACACTGGGGCTCTTCCTCCTGCCTGGGGTCCAGGTCTGCCGGCGGCCATGTCAACTCAGCCAGGGCCTAGGAGGGGGTGGTCGTCAGGGCACCTGCTCGCACCAGGCCTGTCTGGGAGACATCCACAGGGAGAGGCTTCTACTGCAACTGGAGGCTTAGACAGGGGGCGTTAATGTCCCTACTGCTAAAAGATGGGTCAATCTACTTCCGTAATGATACTGCCTCGGAAACCCAAGAAGAGGTCGCTATGAGTCAGGTCCGACTGGATAGTGGTCAGTTTGGTTTGGTTTACTAATGTATTGCATGTCCATTGTAGGAAATATAGAGGAAGGCAAAGATTAACTATCCCACCAGCCATAACCAACGTTCCAATCCCGTTTGTATTTAGGGAGTGGCACCGTCAGGTTAACACACAGGGCTGCTAAAGAAAAGCTAGCAGTCTGAGTCCACTCAGAGGCACCTGGTAGTCAAAGCTTGTTGATCTCCTTCAGAAAAATCAGCCATGAAAACCCTACGGAAGGAACAGCAAAGCAGTTTAGAAATACGGAAGCGTAAAGTTTGTTGGGGTAAGGAGACAGCACCAAGAAGTGAAGCTGGTGGCCAGGAGCCAGAGTTTTAGAGTGTGTTAGTCCTCGACTAAGGAGTTAAGATTTATCTTGTGGGACAGTGTGGCTCCCAAACCAGCTGGGCACCAGAAACACATGGGGCAGTCTGGGCCTCAACTTACAAATATTTGATTTCAGGAAGTTGGGTGGTCTTTTGGGGTGGTTTTTGAATATTTTGTGGTTTGGGTAAACGTTTACAGAACAGATTAGTTTCACAATACACACTTAGTTTAACAATACACATTCTGTTGTGTGACATTAGTTGCAGTCCCCTCAATGTAACAGCACTCTTCCTTCTTGGGTCACTTGTTTTCATTAGTCCTGTCCTGCCTTCTGAACTTTGTTTTTGGGCAACTTCTGCCCCTTTGGGCTTCTGTGCTTGATTGTTTGTGGAACATGTACCTCATGAGTGTTATTGTACACTTTAAAAGGTGAATTCAGGTGGTCTGGAGTGCTTCTAAAGTTCACTACATGACTAAGATGCAGCTAGGTTTGGGAACTGAAGCTTGAATGTAATGAGGGAGCCAAGGGATGGTTTCAAGCAGGGAAACGTCCAGATCCCATGTGAATTTAACATCCTTCTTTCTGGCCAGCCAGTGTGGTAGTGGGTCAGGTTAGCTGCTCATGGTATATGTGACCATATCCTTGTTATTCAGCTTTTCTTTCTGTGTTATCTACTTGCTTGTTTTGTCTCTGAATAGGCTGTAAGCACCACGAGGATGGGCTTGCTTACTGTTACATTCCCAGCAATAAGCACAGTACCTGACATATAACAGGCAGCCAATAAATAGGTTTTGGATGCATGGATGCATTTGCAAAGGAAGGAATGGAAGCAGGGAGATAAGTTGTGAAGCTATTGCAAAAGACCAGGAGGTCTGCTCTAGGGTAAGGACAGTAGGAATGGATTGGAGGTGAAGGTGCAAGCTGTTAAGAGATGATGAATTGGAGTTGGTGACTGATGATTGGATGTGGAGGGTGACTGAGAGGGTAGAGGGAGTATCCATTAGTATCCAAGATTCCTGCCCTATTCGGGCCATTCTCCTTCATACCTGAATTAGAATCGCCTTCCAGTCTCCTTAGCAACTGGAATGTCTCCATCAAGTTAGTTCAGCATTCTCTGTGTCCTCCGCCCCTCCCCCAAATCATCGATTCATTCACCCAGTTCAGTAAATCTTGGCTAAATATACCTCCTATGTGTAGTGAGGCTCTTCCAAGCCAGCACTCATCTCCTTTCCTACCTCGAGAGAGGTTTTTGAGGGCTTTTCCTTCACATCCTTTATACAGTAACATAAAGTGAGATGTCCAGAATGTCAGACCTGTAAGAGTTTAGAGACTTTGTTCAGTCCCTTCCTGATGCCCTCTGAGGGTCAGGAACTTGCCCAAGGACCCATTGTTAGGACATGGTGGAGCCAGAGCTCGAACCTAAGTTCCCTTTCCACATCTCCTCTAGAACCTTTATGTATCCCATCACAGATCAGGACAGGCAGATGGTCGGGGGAAGGTGGGACTTTGGTTGAGCCTTGAAGGTCAGTGTACTGAACAGGCCAAACAGGATGCTTGCCAATTACATTTCCCCTTCTGGAAACCCTTATCAAACCAGCCACACCCACAATTCTTTTTAAGGGTTTCTTAGACATAAATTACCAGGCTCTGTACCATGTGGCCTCACAATCCTGGCCGTAGATGAGTAGGTTGGCAGAGTGTCAGACTCAGGGGCAGCCAGTCTTTTTAGGCTGGCCAGCAGTGTATTCAATAGACTGGTGTAAGAACTCGGCCTCATAAGGATGATATCTTTTTAAGGGTTTCTTAGACATAAATTACCATGCCCTGTACCATGTGGCCTCACAATCCTGGCCATAGATGAGTAGATTGGCATAGTGTCAGACTCAGGGGCAGCCAGTCTTTTTAGACTGGCCAGCAGCCTATTCAATGGACTGGTGTAAGAACTCGGCTCGTAAGGATGGTCTGTAGAAAATGGCCAATACATGAAGCAATCAGATCCCTTTCAGTGAAGCTGGAAGTGATACATTCAGGGAAGGCAAACAATGAGAATTTTGTGAGGCAGCAGTGGTGGGTGAGGGGTGGTCAGAAACTAAACAGCAAAAGCTAACGGGAAGCTGCCGAAACCCTTTGTCAGCATAGGTCATGAGACATTTGTATCATGAGCTCATGGGGCCACAAGGTAGCAGAAGCCAGGCAACAAGGCAAAATGGGCCAAACAGACACAGAAGCCATGAAATAACAGGAGTCGTTATTTAGCAGGAACCACAGGGGAACAGAAACCATGAGAGAGAACCCTGAATCTATGAGAGACGAAGCAGCAGAAGGCTTGAATAAACAAGATCCATGTGGCAAGGGAAGCCCAGAGACTGCAAGGGCCACAAGGTGGCTGGCAACAGAATCCAAGGCAAAGCAGGAACCGCAACCCAGAGAAACCCTGGGTGAGTACAGACCCAAGTGCAGGAGCCCGAAGGTCGAGGAGCAAAGGCCATAGGCTAGACAGGAGCAGAAGGAAGTTAGTCAGTAGGAGTAGCAGAAATAGAACCAGAAAGTAGTTGAGTCACCATTTTGGGACGCTAGAGATGGGAGTAACAGATGCCTGCAGCTGAGGGGGTGACAAACCAGGATCTAGATCTACTTTGGATTGTGAACCATTTTCAAGTTTCTGTTCTGTGAGGTTGCCTGTGCAGCTGTTCTTGTCTTCCTTGTTTCCCTGTGAGTGCTTTAATAAATCCCCATTACTAACCTGAAAAAAAAAAAAAAAACACCCTGCAGAGCCCAGTTCTATTCTGACACACGTAGGTGCACTGTGAACTGGCCCCTATAGCAACTGGTATAATACAAATCCACCACTCATCCGTCAGAGATGATTCAACAAACGGATGCCGTGCTGGTGGTACTCACTCGGCTACGCCAAGAAGTCTGGAAGGCAGCTGCCTGGCCAACTGACTGGAAGAGATCCATAGTTGTACCCATTCCAAAGAAAGGGATCCCACAGAATGTGGAAGTCATTGAACAATATCATTAATATCTCACACAAGTAAAATCTTACTGGAAACAATTCAAAGATGGTTGCAGCAGGATATTGACAGATAACTTCCAGAAATGCAAGCTGGATTCAGAAGAGGGCATGGAACGAGGGCTATCTGCTGATGTCAGATGGATCTTGGCTGAAATCAAAGAATACCAGCAAGATGCTTACTTGTGTTTTAGTGACTAAGAAAAGGGATGTGACTTTGTGGATTATAACAAATTATGGGTAACATTGCAA